GAGTTGGAAGGTCTAAAGCTGAAAGATTTGAAGGCAAAAAACTACTTGTTTCAGGCAATTGATTGTCCAATCTTGGAAACAATTCTTAGCAAAGAAATTTCCAAGCAAATTTGGGATTCAATGAAGAAGAAGTATCAACGTTCGTCGAGAGTGAAGTGTGCCCATCTTCAAGCTTTAAGAAGAGATTTTGAAACTCTACAGATGAAAGATAATGAGTCTATAACTAATTATCGTTCTAAAACTATGGAGATAGCAAACAAAATGCACTTCCATGGTGAAAAGATGGAAGTTGTAGTCATTGTTGAGAAGATTCTACGTTCTTTGGCTCCAAGGTATAATTATGTTGTTTGGTCAATTGAAGAATCTAAAGATATAGATTCTTTGTTACTCGATGAACTTCAAAGTTCTTTGGTAGTTCATGAATAAAAGATTACTTAAAGCACCACTATAGAAGAGCAAGCTTTAAAAGCCTCCACTTATGTTGGGTCCTTAAGTTCAAGGAGAAGAGGTCGAGGTCGAGGTAGAGGAGGAAGTCAAGGAAATGGTAGCTGGAGGCATCGAGATGAATCAATTTTTCAAGGCAAAGGGAGAAACCATAATCAGTAAGTTGATAAATCCAAAATCGAGTGTTACAGCTGTCACAACTTTGGCCACTACCGTTTTGAATGTTATACCAAATTGCCTCATGACAAAGAAAAATGGGAGAAATAAAATTTTGTAAAAAAGAAAGAAGAAGAAACCTTACTGATGGCCATTCAGGTCAATGACAACAAGCTGGAACCCGACATATGGTATCTTAACACTAGATGTAGCAATCATATCTATGGTAATGAGTCTTTCTTTTCTCATTTAAATGAAGATTTTCGTACAACTGTAAGCTTTGGTAATCATTCACAAGTCACTGTTATGGGAAAGGGTGATATTCAAATCAAGACAAAAAATGATAATATTGACATTATTTCAAATGTCTTTTATATTCCTGATTTGAGAAATGATGTGTTAAGTATGGGGCAGCTACAAGAAAAAGGATACACAGATACAATCAAGGAAGGCATTTGTGAAATTTATGATCCAAAAAGGGGCTTAATTGCTCAGGTTAAGATGTCTCAAAATAGGCTATTTCCACTGCAGATTCAGACCATACAACTTGTCTTTCAGTAGCATCAAATGATCCAATGTGACTTTGGCATTATCGCTATGGCCATCTGAATTTCAATGGTTTAAAGACTCTATCTCACAAGAATATGGTGACGAGCCTTCCTCGGATTACTCATCCTAATAATATATGTGAAGACTGTGTTGTTGGCAAACATTATCAAGATCATTTTCCATAAGGAAAATCATGACGAGCAAAGAAGGTGCTGGAGCTAATTCACTCTGATATATGTGGGCCCATCAATCCAACATCAAATGGTAATAAATGTTATTTTATAACGTTTATTGATGATTATAGTAGAAAAACTTGGATTTATTTTTCATGGGAAAAGTCAGAAGCTTTTTCAACTTTTAAAAGCTTTAAGTTACTGGTCAAAAAAGAAGCAGGCAAACCTATTAAAATTCTTTGCAGTGATCGTGGCGGGAAATACAATTCACAAGAGTTTGTAAATTTTTGTGAGACCTAAGGAATACAAAAGCAACTTACAGCAGTTTATTCACCACAGCAAAATGGTGTTTCAGAAAGGAAGAACCATACAATCTTAAATATGGTGCGAACTATTCTAGCAAAAGGACATATCCCAAGAAGATTCTGGCCTGAGGCAATCATATGGAGCATTCACATTTTGAATAGAAGTCCCACTCTTACAGCTCAAAATGTGACACTTGAAGAAGTTTAGAATGGACGAAAACCAAGTGTTGACCACTTTAGAATCTTTGGTTGTATAGCATATGCCCACATTCCAATCAAAAAAGGAGAAAGCTTGTTGACAAAGGAGAGAAACACATTTTTCTTGGCATTAATGAGAAGTTGAAAGCATACAAATTGTACAATCCAATAACCAAGAAAATTGTAATTAGTTGTGATGTTATTTTTGATGAAGAAAGGTTCTAGAAATGGGATGAAAACTATGACAAACAACAAATACAAGTAGATTTTGATGGAGAAAATGAAGAAGAAAGGCAACGACTAATACATAATCAGACTACTGCAGTTTTGACTCCAAAAATCCATAAAATGAAGCTCCTGCAAATGTTGAAACTTCACCAGTAATAGCAGAATCTGATGAACTTATCAATGCAGCAGCAGGTTCACCTTCTTTTCGGGCTCGAAAAAGACCAGTATGGATGGTTGATTATGAGGTAGCTGACATTAGTCAATTTGAAGAATCACTCAGTTACTTTAATTTATTTTCTGATTGTGATCCTCTCACATTCCAAGATGCCGTCAAAGAACCAAAATGGCAAAAAACCATGAATGAGGAGATCAAATCAATTAAAAAGAACAACACTTAGGAGTTGTCAGAACTTCCAAGAGGACAAAAACCGATTGGTGTAAAATGGATTTATAAAACAAAACTCAAAAAGAATGGTGAAATCGACAAGTACAAAGCCCGGCTTGTCGCAAAAGAATACAAACAAGAATTTGGCATTGATTACAAAGAAGTGTTCGCTCTAGTTGCAAGATTAGACACCATTCGAGTAGTTCTATTCATGGCTGCCAAAAATTCATGGAAAGTCTATCAACTAGATGTGAAGTCAGTATTCTTACATGGTGAATTGCAAGAAGAAGTGTACGTTGACCAACCTCTTGAATATGTGAAACAAGGCAGTGAGAAAAAGGTATACAAATTGAAGAAAGCATTATATAGACTAAAACAAGCACCAAGAGCTTGGTATAGTCGTATTGATGCTTACTTTGCTAGAGAAGGCTTTTGCAAATGTCCTCATGAGCGCACACACTTTTTACAAAGCTAAGAAGTAATGGTAAATTACTTATTGTTTGTCTATATATGAATGATCTGATTTATACTGGCAATGATGAATATATGACTGAGGTTTTTAAGAAAAGTATGATGATTGAATTTGAAATGATGGATTTGGGTTTGCTGCACTACTTCCTTGGGATTGGAGTAGTGCGTCATTTGCTGGTACATTTATTTCACAAAAAAAAATATGCTGCTGAAGTTTTAAATAGGTTCAGAATGCAGGATTGCAACCCAGCTTGTACTCCAACAGAGTGTGGCATAAAATTGATGAGAGATGATGGAGCAAAAAAAGATAAATGCTACTCTTCACAAGAAGATAGCAGGTAGTTAGATGTATATAACCTCAACAAGACCTAACATCATGCATGGTGTTAGTTTAATCAGTCAGTACATGGAGAATCCAAGTGAGAATCATTTGTTGGTTGCTAAGAGGATTTTTTCGTTATCTCAAAGGCACAGTTGATTTTGGTATTATGTTTAAGGCAGGGACAAAGGAGATTTTTTTTGATTTTTTGATAGTGACTATGTTGGAGACCTTGAAGACAGAAAGCGTACATCAGGCTTTATTTTTATGATTAGTTCTGGAGCTATATCTTGATCACCAAAGAAGCAACAAATAGTGACTTTATCATCTATAGAAGCGGAATATGTAGCAGCAGCTTNACATCTATTTTCTTCTCTTTTTGTAACAGGACTTTTGTACCTGTTTTCTCTAGTTTAACAATGAATCTTGAAAAAACGTATCAGGTTTCGACAGATTCTATTTTTGTGAATTTTTTGAGGGTTTTCATTGAATCGCTAAGTTGTGGTGTTCAACAATTGTGTAACTTGTGTTCGACCCTATTTCTATAATTTCTTCTTCTTCCCTTTTCAATACACATACACACACACATTTTTTACTGTAATGTTCTTGTTGGTTCATTAGGATAAATCTTGTAAAAAAATTTCTGGGTCGAATTTGAGATGCAATTTAGGCCTCTAAATTCTCTATGAACTTTCTCTGGATCGTTAATTGTTGTATTAGGTGTTCATTTTCATTGAATATATGGTTATTTCAACAATTGTGTACCTACTGTGATAATATTCTATAATGTTGGTGTTATTCCTTTGTCTTTACAATTACTTTCTTTGTCGTTGTATTTGGGTGGGTTAGTCGTGAAGGATTTATCCTTTTGGATTAATAATCAGTCTTAAGTTTTACAGTATTGAATTTGTTATGTGAAATCTAAGTGGGCTGGAATCTTTAATAGAATTTATGTTTGGTTTGGTTATTGGGTTTCCTTTACATTTTACTTCAGCAATTGTGTTGTGAGTGATAATGTTCTCTTTGTTCTTTATTTTTTTATAATTTTTAATTTTTTTTTATGAATACATTTTTTGTGTTGGTGTAAAGGGATGAATCTTGAAGGATTTTTCCTGGGTTCAATTTACGGTTCACTAGATATATTTTTGTGAATTCTCTGTGAGTTTTGTTGAATCTTTAATGGAATTTGAGCTTTTAGTGTTTGGATTGAATAATTATAACTGATAAGTTACATATTTTCTTTTCATTTTATGTACTGTTTTTTCAACATTGTTTATTTACTTTTCATATCTTTATGATTACATTCTTTTGTTGCATCTGAATGAATATTGGAGGATCTTTTGTGGCTCTTGTTCTTCAGATGATGATCAATTTTGTATTTTGCAGGATTTGAATATGTGGATTCTTTGTGGGTTCATTTTTCAATGTAATTTGAGTTTCAATGTTTGGATTGAATAATTATAACTGATAAGTTACGGGTTTTCTTTTCATTTTATGTACTTTTTTTCAACAATTATGTTTCTCATTGTGATTATCCATTTTTTTATGATTACATTCTTTTGTTGCATTGGATGAATGATAGACCAGAAATCCAGATTAAATATCAAAGGCGACATAAAGGGGAAAGGGCAGAAAAGGAATTGCAAGGAGAGTTGAGGCCACATGCATAGCAACAGAAATTGTTACAGAACACTTCAGAAGCACAACAACGTATAAAAATAAGGCAGGAAATGGAATTGAAGGCAGGCAGAATTATGGGTATTCAGTAGGAGAGTGGGAAACCTCTCGAACGTCCCTAAGCATATCCACGTTATCTTTTTTTCTTTATCTGTTATTTGTATTCCAGCTTTGTTCTCTCATAACAAATCTATTTTTAGTGTAATTGCAGTTATTTCAATGAAGGCCATGTTTAATTTCAGCTATCAATTACTTTAGAGTGTATTGGAGGAACTAAAGTCATTGATGAGAAATCGGTTCCGATCATTCCTAGAAGGAACCATGGAGGAGAGATTTTTGGTGCTCCGGTACTTTTTTTATGATTACATTCTTTTGTTGCATTGGATGAATGATAGACCAGAAATCCAGATTAAATATCAAAGGCGACATAAAGGGGCAAGGGCAGAAAAGGAATTGCAAGGAGAGTTGAGGCCACATGCATAGCAACAGAAATTGTTACGGAACACTTCAGAAGCACAACAACGTATAAAAATAAGGCAGGAAATCGAATTGAAGGCAGGCAGAATTATGGGTATTCAGTAGGAGAGTGGGAAACCTCTCGAACGTCCCTAAGCATATCCACGTTATCTTTTTTTCTTTATCTGTTATTTGTATTCCAGCTTTGTTCTCTCATAACAGATCTATTTTTAGTGTAATTGCAGTTATTTCAATGAAGGCCATGTTTAATTTCAGCTATCAATTACTTTAGAGTGTATTGGAAAATTGTTATTATTTTAGGCGTCTATCATTGGTATAAGAGCACTCGATCCTGATGGTGGCTTTGGTTGATCGGGTGGAAAATTTGGAAAGAACTCATCAGATGTTATAGGAACAATTGGAAGGGATGCAACATGGGATGGATAGGATGCAAGTTGAGCTACAGAGCGTCCAAAGCATAGAAAAAAATATTCCAATCATCTAAGAACAATTATCCTTCATGAGATCAAAGTGGGCAGAAGCTGAAAAAGAAAGAAAAGGAAAAGGGCAGGAAGGATTGAAGGAGTCTAAGTACATGATACATTCTGAGGTTTCCCCTGGAGTGGAACGAGTAGTAGGGATGTGAGCGAAGTTACAAGTGAAAGCTGGAGGCCGAATATCCAGGGAAGGAAGTTGGAAATGCCTGTGTTCACGGGAAAAGGGCCGGATGAATGGATTTTTAGGACAGAGCGTTATTTCGTCGTGAATCAGCTGTTGGATGCAGAGAAATTAGAAACGTT